GGGTTCTTTAGCCTTTAGTCCATTAGGGTTTTGTTTATATCCGCTTTATTCTTTGTAGTCTTTATGTTTTCATTGAAAACCCTTGTAATTTCTCTTTATCATTAATCATATGGCAATGTTATCATAAATCACTTGAATTTGTTTTAATCAAGTAGTTGGAGTTGTGTTGGAGATACTTATTTTTTCCTAATTGAAGGTTAGATGTGATGTTGCTATGGTTCCTAAAAATATTATCATTGTGACAATTTTGCCCCTGGAGATTGTACTTGTTAGTGTTACTATTCGCCCCGCGTTATAAACAGACCCTAGTATTAAAACCTTGGATACCAAATTTCTTCGAGTACTCTAGCAGTCTCAGGTTAGTCATTTCTCTGATCATTGTAATTTTTTAAAATTATTTATTATTATTTTATCGGGAAAAAAAAAAAAGTTGTGTTACCCCTTACAAAAATTTATGGGTCCGCCCCTGATGATGATGGTGAATTTTAGAGCTTGTGTTTGTGAACAATAAACAAACAGGTCAGCATATTGTATATATGATGATGTTTCTTTCCAAAATGTTTTGGACATGACGGTTAATTGGAAAAGTGACAGAGGTTGTTAGAACAGGTGAATTAGGGTGCCTGCTTCTTTTTGATTTAATAAACTTATTCTTAATCTGGCAAGCTAAGCTATATTATATATGAAGTTGATAACTTTATGTAATATCTATCTGTATGATGCAGGTTTAACACCAGGTGAGATGAGAAGCTCCTGGAGTTGTATCATGGGAAATTGGGACAAAATGTGGATCCTGTATTTGAGGAACTTCTGTACTAAGAAGAAGATTTATGTGCTCATTTCTTCTTCTTCTTCTTGTGTATTTTTTTTAAATAAAAAAATGAATCTCCTTTTGGTTTCTTTCTATACTGTATGAAATTATAGACTACATCATATATGTGTTTCAGTGTTTGTTTCTAGGAATAAGCTGTGAATCCAATGATGATCATGGAAAACATGCGAGGTGTTATCATTATTATTGCAGCAATCAGTGAGTGAGTGAGTTGTACCATAACCATTTAATTTAATTTGATCCATCCAACAACTGCAACTGTAGGGTTGAATAACTTCCGAATGAATGATCTGTGTACTTTTGTTTTTTGTAAGTGAACCATTTTTCGTGTTGTATTGTATTGAATTGTGAAATTGAAGCATCGTTATCTTTATGGTACGTTGTTTCTTCCTCATGTAGATATCATGCATATGAGACTAGTATCGCATCCATCAATCCATTATCCGTATGTATGCAAGCAATCTTTAGTGTGCACTACAATTCACAATTCACAAACATATAGGGGAGAAGCCATTCTGCATATGTCCATGTCATGTGTAATCTGACATGTACCCATGTGCATGTGCATCTCATGCTCTCAATTGACCTACCATGTTACTTGTTTACCAATATACTTGTTTGGTTACTATTATTATTATTATTATTATTATTATTATTATTATTATTATCTGCACCCAACCCAGGTTCATGTATGGTGGACACAGTGAAAGTAGCTTAAATTATATTTACATATGAATATAAAGTTGTAAGTTTTTATGTTGTTATGCTCATAATTGGCCTCTTGGTTTAATTATAGAAATTCAAAAAGTTTCTTTTCAGTTGTGATTATTTATTTGATCTTTTACTTGGTTTGGTTTGGTTTGGTTTGAAGAAGTGTATATATTCGTTTTGAGAATTAAAGTGATACTGATGGGAATGAAGTGAAGGCTGACCTTTTAAGAAGAAATCTAAGATACTATTATTCTATATAATCACGACAAAGACAACTTACCCTTATAATCACAATTGCTTTAGATGTTGATAACCCCGATTGATTACTTTATTAATTACAATTACTTGACAAGCCATTGCAACCACACCTACTTTGAGATGCATATTCATATTACCCAACTTGTTAACAAATGATGTGACTACATTAAGTAATGTCCCTATTTTTTTATTTTTTTTTAATTTCTGTTAGGTTGAGTTGCAATAGTCTAAGAATCATTTATGTACTACTTGTTCATGAAAATATGATTAAAGTAATTCTTTGGTTAAACTTGTCATCTCGTTTGGACCATCAATCAAATGTTGATGTTGCCTTTTTGCAAATTAAAGAGAGTATATTCAGTGTCTTTATACATACTGAATAAGCGTATAAATTACGAATCTTTTATTAGACTCACTTGACTCTAGTTAAACATGGCTTACTTATGTCCGTTTTAGGTGATGGTGATGGCACCACAAAATACAAATGGTAAAGGTCTATGATGCCTTCCTTATAAGTTATTTTTCCGATAAAGGACTATCAAATTAATTGACAGAATTTGTTAGTTAACAAGAAAACCATTTCTAATTTCTAGTGATTAACCCTCTTGTACTAAAATTAAGAACTAAGCTTTAATTACAATATACCACATTGGATGCCTTGAAAGGATGTAAATGACCGTTGAATCCTCGCATTGACCTCAATAATTTTTTGATCCACAATCATAATGTAGTGTAGTATATTCTACTCTATACACACTTATTCATTTCTCAAATGTCATTTGTACCCTTTTGCTTTTAATTTTATATAAATTCTACATATCGATACGATCATATATCCTATTTTCTATTTTCATATATGCGATCCCATAAAAGAAAGATCAGTAACTTACAAATTCCATCACTGCTACGCTCAGATCTCGAATCTAATAATTAAAGGTTTTTTTATTTTACACTGTTGTTGGGTTTTGGCTTTTTGTTTCTTCTTATAAACAATTTTTTTTTAATTGAAAGGGCAAACTTGGAAATTCACCATGACAATGTCCACTGCAGCAGTGCACCTTGCTGTCTTCTCTCATGTCCAGCTCATTAAATCCTGATGGGCTTTGGATATGGCCCACAAAACAAAAACACAACCACATGGAAATTATTATTTTAATTTGTTTCTTGAAATTATTCTCCATATTTTATTTTACAAGACGATAAAAATATCAGTGTCTCCATCTCAGACTTTGCTACAAAAACCCATTCCCATTCATCATCCATTGCTCCTTCAAACTCTCCCTCCCTTTCTCTAATTTCCCAGTCCTACTTTCAAGAATTAATTTCTAATCCCATTTTCAAGAAAATGAGAGAAATTCTTCATGTACAAGCGGGACAATGCGGAAACCAGTCGGAGGGAAGTTTTGGGAGGTCGTGTGTGACGAACACGGCATCGATGCCACCGGGAAATATGTCGGTAACAGTCACGTTCAACTAGAAAAGAGTGAATGTGTACTATAATGAGGCGAGTGGCGGTAGGTATGTACCTAGAGCTGTGTTGGTGGACCTAGAGCCTGGTACGATGGACAGTCTGCGTACCGGACCATATGGTAATATTTTTAGGCCGGATAACTTTATCTTCGGCCAAAATGGTGCCGGAAACAATTGGGCTAAAGGGCATTACACCGAAGGTGCCGAGTTAATTGACTCGGTTCTTGATGTTGTTCGTAAGGAAGCTGAGAATTGTGATTGTTTGCAAGGTATAATTTATAATGAAATTGTTTTTAAACGGCAAAATCTTATATTTGAAAAAAAAATCTGAAAGACGTTGATTTTCGTTTACAGGTTTTCAGGTATGCCATTCGCTTGGAGGGGGGACCGGATCCGGTATGGGTACCCTACTAATATCGAAGATCCGTGAAGAGTATCCGGATCGGATGATGTTGACTTTTCGGTTTTCCCTTCACCGAAGGTGTCGGATACCGTTGTTGAGCCATACAATGCCACCCTTTCTGTTCACCAGCTTGTCGAGAATGCTGATGAGTGCATGGTTCTTGATAATGAAGCACTGTATGATATATGTTTCCGTACACTCAAGCTCACAAACCCAAGCTGTAAGTCAACTAAATTGTTTTTTAAGAAAATTATTTTTAAATGGTAGTATTTCAATACATGTGTTTTTTATTAAAAGATAATTAATTATATTTATTCTAAACTGTCGGTGACAGTTGGAGACCTGAACCACTTGATTTCAACAACGATGAGCGGCGTCACCTGCTGCCTCCGGTTTCCCGGTCAACTGAATTCCGACCTCCGCAAGCTCGCCGTGAATCTCATCCCATTCCCTCGCCTCCACTTCTTCATGGTCGGATTTGCACCGTTAACCTCTCGAGGATCACAGCAGTACCGTGCCCTAACTATCCCTGAGCTCACTCAACAAATGTGGGACGCTAAGAACATGATGTGCGCCGCCGACCCCCGCCATGGCCGTTACCTCACTGCCTCCGCTATGTTCCGTGGAAAAATGTCAACTAAAGAAGTCGACGAGCAGATGATCAATGTGCAAAACAAAAACTCTTCATATTTCGTGGAATGGATCCCTAACAACGTGAAATCGAGCGTCTGTGATATCCCACCCACCGGACTCTCGATGTCGTCGACGTTCATGGGGAATTCGACCTCCATTCAGGAAATGTTCCGGAGGGTTTCTGAGCAGTTTACGGTGATGTTTAGGAGGAAAGCTTTCTTGCATTGGTATACAGGGGAAGGAATGGATGAGATGGAATTCACTGAGGCTGAAAGTAACATGAATGATTTGGTGTCTGAATACCAACAGTATCAAGATGCTGTGACCGATGAAGTTGAAGAAGATGAATATGATGAAGAGGTTGAGGAGAATTAAAAGTCACATTTTCTGAAATTCAAACTCAAAGGTATGTAATATTTTAAAGGGATTGATTTGTTTGTGTATTTTGGCCTATTAGGCATTCTCCAATGTTGTTATTCTTGTATAATTCCTTTCTTTTATCCCCAATAAAGTGTTCCACTTTTATCTTCTAAGTAGTTTGACTTTTTGGGATGCAATATAGTTGACCAAGGTCTATATGGGTAACATTACGACCGATACTAAAAAGTTATCAGTTTTAACCCGAGCCGATATTACCATGTTGACCAACTTGCTCTAAACAAACAAATCAAAATAAGATAAATCAAACATATAGGGCGAAAAAAAGTTAATGGTGCAGTTTCATAAGAGTATGAACAAGCCAATATTATCCACTGTCGGTAGATTACAGCATTGCAAATTAAACATCTACAATCAACACAAATTTGAATCGACAGTTGAATCCTTTATCTACCCAAGATTTCTGTATGAACTCAGAGATCACTCACTTGGCATCAAGGGTAAAGATGTGTCATTCAGCACCTTGATAACACAATGCTAAGATAGTAAAAAGAAGATACAATCAAATCAAGCGCAAACTCAAACTCAAACATTATAATCACACCCTTTTCTTTCATCAAGCTTTCTTTGTTACGTAAAAGTGACGCCTTTTTCTGTCAAGAATCAGTTTTCTATCAATCCCCTTTTGATGTTTTCTTGGATAATGTAAAGGGCAAAGAAAGCATGGGGGAATTTATAAAGTTTTTCAATTAAAAACCATCAATTCAAGTGATGTTCTTTTTCTCTTCAAGGACTGAGGCTTCTTTGAGTGCAATTTGTGCTTCATTTTCCCTCTTCAAAGCGAAAAGCGCAGCAGCTTGTAGGTAGGATGCTATATGCCAAATTGGGGATATGACTTGTGTTTGTATAGCATCATTGAGTGCCTCATCTGGCATATCACTCATAAGATATGACAAGCTTCGGCGAGCATACACTGTTGGTGAAATCATAGTTCCTGCATCGATGAACTGAAGAGGAAAACACTTGCAGATTAAATCCAAATACTAAGCAATGTTCAATTGGCTACTTTTTTCAAAGTATAATCACCTAATATGAAATTAACTGAAAGTAGGATCATGCCATAATACACCAATAAATGAAACTATGTTGCCATTTCTTGCCTTTAGCCTCTTAACCATTGTTTTATGAAATAAATCACCATTGAGGGGTATTTAAGGCATTTGTTAGTGTTCAATTTTTGCAAGAATGATGATTTGCTCATAATAAAAAAGCCAAGTAAGACGGTTTCTTTTTGCACTATTGGAGGAAATTTTAAGACATTTGCGATAATTAACCTGAGTATAGTAGTCTATTGCAGTTTTGAATTCTTTATGGCGAAAAGCCACATCCCCTTTCTTCTTGGAATTCAATGTGTCCTGCATCTGACTTGTCCACATATGGAATGAGAGCTGCAAGCCAATTTCAAAAAATCATGACTCATGAGTGCCATGAAAGTTGACTTTGAAAAGAAAAGGTCAAACCTCAGCTGTTGCTCCCTCATCATCTTTGTAGGCTAAATTTTCCAAGATTTCATGTATGGCTGTCAAATCCATTCTCAAGCAGGCTTCACCGAGAGGGGTTAGGGGCATAGCAGCAGCAGCACCACCTTGTGTTATCCCCATTAATAAATGAGAAGGTTGCTGTGAAGTGATATTTAACATAATAAGCGGTGAATGGATAAAATAAATATAAATGGTGTTGAAAAGATACCTCTGTTTCCTTTTGTAGAGGAACCAAAGCAGAAACCAATGACTTTGGATTTGGGCGCTCACGTGGCTCGTATTGTAAGCATCTTGAAGCTAACCGAACCAATTCGGTTCCCTCATCATTAGAAAATTGCCCTTCTAAGCAAGAGTCAGTAAGCATTTCAAGGTTCCTGTCCCTTATAAGGTCAAGAGCCTGATAAATCAAATCCACATGCCATTCGTTCATTATTAGATAATAAATCGATTGTAACATTTTCAAAAAGTACAAAAATTAAATCACCCAAATATACAAAAAATTTGGACATCTAGAATACATACATGGCTAGGCGGAATGTGTTTTCCACTTAGTAGGTCAAGCAAAAGGGTGCCAAAACTATACATCACACTTTCCGGTGTTACCCTCCCTATAAATTCAAGGAAAACAAGTGTTAAAAAGATCGAGAAATAATAAATAAAGAAGTTTCTTATAGAGGTGAGGAGGCAAGACTTATCTGATAAGCTATAGATGAGTGTGTGTGTGTGTGTATTACTTAATGCAGAAAGAACGACTTAATAAATAAAGAGAGCCAGGAAAACGAGGCTTTCCCCATTAAGTCCTAAAACTTGTTACAAATTTGATCCCATTTATTTGTGCCATAAGTAAGAGGAAGTACTAAGTACCAGTCCTTAAATACTCGGGAGGGGTGAAAGCCAAATTTGTACTGTAACTCTTTCCGTCTCTACTGTTCTTCATCAATCCAAAGCAAGAGAGTCTAGGGTTTGCATCCTGTAACAAAATACACGGGTCACATAAAATAACCATGAATCGTATGGGTTATATAAAAAAGCAACAATGAAAGGGTAATAACTAATAACATAACATACATCATCAAAGACTATTCGATACGCATTCAGATCATGGTAAAGAGCGCGTCCTTTACTTGTACAATATTCTAAAGCTTCTGCAAGATATAACGCCACCCTTAATCGCATTGCCCATTTCATAGGCTGTGTTTCCCCTAATTCAAGAATCAATATGCAAATGTAATAAGTAAAAAAATTGGATCAAAACAACGAGAAATATTTTTTTTTTAAATCCACAGCACTTACAATGAAACAAGTGCTTTGCAAGTGTTTCATGTGGCATAAACTCAGCAACAAGTAGTCTTTCATCGCCTTCACAACAACATCCAAGTAGATTCGCCAATCTAGGGTTTCTGAGTTGACCAACTGCTCTTGCTTCATCCTGTTATATTTTATGCAAGAATGAATGATTTTGAACAAAAAAGGTTTTTTTTTTTGGGGGGATTTATATTTTCAAAAACATACAAAATAGAATCTTGTATGGTATAATGGTACCAAAGATGTACATACCAAGAATTGCCTGGAATCAGGCCATGCAGATCTATTGAAACGTTTGATGGCAACCTGTCTTTGGTTTTGCAGCTTTCCTTTATAAACAACGTTAGGGGCTTTTTCACCATGTTCAGAGACTATATTCTCAACAGCAAATCCAGATGTCGCCATTTTAAGTTGTTCGATGGAGAATTCATGAAATGATGGCAAATCACTTGCCTCGTCTGCCTCTTCTTTTTCTGAAACAAAACAAAAAATGGTCAAAAAAAGTCTTTTAGGCAACAAAAGGAGGCAAATTAGGAAGATTTGCATACCGACATCATGGGATTTGGCAATCACTCCATTCGGTTCTATACTACAGCAACAGCAACACGCGCAGAGTCTTGAAAACTCACAGCCCATTGCAGAGTAATCTTTTAAACTTCCAAATTGATCGAGTTGAACATCAAAACTCCTGCTGAATTGGATGGTTTATTCAGTTGTAAAAGAAAGAGACTTTAACTTTACGCTCGCTTGGGCGTAACCCAACTTTTATGTACCAGTTCTTAAAAAACACCTTTAAATTCAGAAAATGACCAATAACACGCACAGATTGATCAAGTTGATTATGATTGTCAAAAATCAAAGCATTTCACACTTCAATTTTCCAAATTAAAATCCATTTCACATTCACATGACACGTCCCCATCATAATATCTGGAAATTTGCATTAATATCAGATAATAGAGCGTACACGTATATCAAGTACCTTTATCAGCAATCAAGAAAAATTAAGTGGAACTGCAGAAGTACCAAATTAGGGTATTAAAGTCCAAAACCCAGATCAGCAGAGCTTCATCTTCCAAAGAAACAGGCAAAAATGAGCTCCTTTAAGCTGAATAAGATCAACCACGTATGGGTAACTATCAAGAAATTCAAGAAAGGGAGAAAAATACGGACTTTTTCAAACCTTTTGATTCAATTTACATGAGCCGCTGCAGCTCATGGACCCAGTAGGGTAAAAGTCTCAAAAGGACAAACTGGGTCTTTGTTTCTCTCTCCTCTCACTAAAATTATATGCGTGTTGAACGAATCAAAAAGATGATTGGAGAAGAAATTTGGGGGGTTTCAGAATATTAATAAGTTAAGCAGTGTTGTAGATGAAATGAGATGCGTACGACCATTAAGATTTGCAGATCTCTTGCCACTTGATTTCAAGTTTGCACTCAATTACTCTCTTTAATTTTCCGTTTTCCACCGACTTGATCTTTTTAATTTGTAATTGTCCTGTCTGAGCATTAGCTTACAGAAACAACCCATGACCATGAGAGGTACTTGTTATATTTTAAAATAATTGAAGTGCTTTTTATCATGTTGTTTGGCAGTTTTTGGCTTTTTCCCGTGAAATACTCCAAAATAATCTAATAAAAACCATATTTATGATCTTTGTTAATTAAAATCACAAAGTGAATTTTGTGTTATAAAAATTAAGGAAATTGAGTAATCTAACAATTTTTTTATTGTTTTTTTAAAATATAACAATTTTTTTTTAAAATTGAAAAACAATCATCTAGTTCGGAATGAACCATTCCTGAGTGAGGTTATCCAGCACGCCCGTCCATTCCGTATTAGGTTCCGGAAAATACATACCATTGGTACTATATAATTCATTCTATAATACATACCAGAATATCATAATATTTCAAAATCAGTGGACAAATATTAAATGACATCCGATCCCAATGAATGTTTGGTTTTACAGGTAAGTTCTTGACGTATTTATCTGTTCTTAATTAATTTTCTTATTATAAGTTTAAAAACTTTAGCTGGAAATGCGAAGAATTTGCCCAAAATACACACACAAAAAAAATAGAATATTATGTTAATTAGTATCAGATGCCTTAACTAGGTAGTTTTATAATATTGCTAAGACTATGATTATTAAAATCATATGGATCTTTTTGTGGTGCATCGGTGGTTCATTTTTTGATAATTTGTGTGGTTTTGATCCCTATGGTTGGCATTTTTGTGTGATTTTTGTCCAGACCCAACAAATGATGAATATGTCATTCGATAATTATAACTTTTTAATTATTTTTAATATTTTCTTATTATTTTAAATAAAAAAAAATCTAACCTACCCAAACCCTCCTAAGTCACACCCCACCTCATATTCTTTCTCATTTTGGACGTCACCACCACCATCTGCGCTACCCTCTTCACTGAAACATTACATCCTCACTGGAACACCGTCATTCTTATCACAAACCTGGAAACAAGACCAACCCCCTCTTTCTCATTCCTAATAACATAAGCTTGGGTTTCCACCAACACCGCCAACATTAGGGTTTGTAGGTGTGCCGCGGAGATGAACAGATCGACCAACATCGCTACCCCAAAACCAGTAATTTAGGGTTTCCACCAACACCACACGACTAATTGGCGTTCCGACTTGTGCTTTTATTGTGAAGCATAAAGAAAAGCCAAAAGAGAATGCATTTTGAGTGGGTTTTATCATCGACGATTGTGATCGTGGGGATTTACTGACATAGGGTTATAGGTAGATTATAGATTTTTGGTGGTGGTTGATATTGATAAGTAGAGTTCACTTGAGTTGTTGGGTATTCCAACAGTTCTACGACAGCAATATAAAGAGAATTGATGGAGAAGAGAGGTTTCCAATGGGATTGAGGGAGATTGTGGTTGTATGTTAGAAATGAATTTACCAATGGGAGAAAAAGAATGATGAGATTTGGGTTTGTAAGTATACGACAACGAAGATGAACCCTAGTGTAAGAACCAGAAATCTAGAGAAAATTGACTTTTAGTAAAACATCGACCAAAATGGCAAATTCATCAGAATCATATGAGATTATGAAGTTGTGACTTCATGAAAATTGCCAAAAAGAGTTGAAGTCGCTTAGAAGATGTTAGATGAGTAAGCATGGAAAGATGCATTTTTGTCAAAAGGGTAAAATGGGACCAACTTTGTGACTTAGTAAAGTAAGGTCTCGTTTGATAGTTTCTGTCCCGGAAAGTGTTGTTTGCGTAAGTGTTGTATGTGAAAGTTTTCTGATCGGTAAATAAATCATGCTGTTTGATTGTACATCTGATTGATTGTGCTGAATGATGAAAAATTGGTAATATTACCTTGCATTTCTATACTGTGATTGATCAAAATTATACAATAATCATTTAAAAATCCAAATAAAATGTCGATTAAGTTGTTTTTAGTTTATTGTTTTTCAAGTTGATGTTATATTATTATTCTTTCTAGCAATTTTTGTTTTTTTATAACTCAACGTGTGATTCTTGACACGGTTTATATCCGACAATGGTGGGATAAATGATTTTTTTTTAAATATATTAGGATGATGGTGATGCTGTTAAAAAAATAATCCAATAAAAATGAATTATAAAAAATAACTAAAAGAAATTAATAATCCAATAGAGTAATAATTCAATAATTAAGAAATTAAAAAATATTTAAAAGAAATTAATAATCCTAGAAAGAAAGATGCAGGGTTTGGAGCACAAATGTCTTTCCGGCCTATTCAGCCAGAAATCTATGGTTTTGGGGTTTTATGGAAAAGACATATCTTACCGGGAAATACCTATTTTTTGTGCATATCAAACAGTTTTTTCCGGTCCATTCAGCCACAAATATATGTTTGGACCTGGAAATATGTCTATCAAACGGAACCTAAACAATTTACACTTGTACTAGTATTGAATTATTGATGAACAACGGTAAAACAAAATATATGATATGTTCTGAAACCTTTCTATTGATATTTATATTTGTACTAGTATCGATAAACAGCGTTAAAACAAAATAAATGAAACATTTCTATTTTGCTAATTGCTTTAATTATAGTTTTTTTTTTTTTTAAACTTCGTCCTACGCGAAGCAAGGAAATATCTCCTAATTTCATTCAATAATCGTTGCTTTTTTAAGTGTTGTATCATTGCATATAAAAGGGCATTTTAGCAAAAGACAATTAACAAGATGAATCTCATTTCGGGTTTACATAAAAAAGGCATCTGATTTCATGTTTGCATAAAAAATTAACAACAATTGTTTTCACGAACCCTAGAAAAGACAATTTCATGAACCATAGAAATTTTGATTTCATGAACCCTAGAAAAGTTTAAGGCGCTTACCTGACGGGGGAAAAAGGTTGGAACGAAATATACAGTGGGAAGAAGGAGGCGAGCTTGGGCCTGAGTCCGACCAAGTCGAGGAGGCTGGCGGCAGGAGCCGACATAAGCAGAATCGAACAAAAGGATGAAGACGGAAACAGTTCTGTTTGGATGGCGGCTACATACGAAGGAGACGAGACGTTGAAGAAGACCGGTGGAGGGAGACGTCCATGGTGAATGGTGATGCTGGAGGCGCTGCTTCTGAAAGAGAAAAATAAAGCGTGTTTTTTTGGTTTAGGTATAGAGTACAAACCTTAGAAGACATTGTTTCATGTATGTGCCAAGAAGACCTCGCGTAGATTTTTTGAGGTCTGTGGACTTCCGAAAAACCAACAGTCTGCCATGACATATATCTGCGCATGGTCTGTGCGGCGCATATAGAAGTGGTCACGTAGATCTGCAAGCAAAAAACAAACAACACCTTAGTTGGAGAATATAAAAGACTATTGCATGAATAAATTTGTACTTTCTATTTTAATCACACAACATAATACGCTAAAGAGTTACATTATATAAACAAAATATAAAGTTAATATATAGTGGTATTTAAAATTTTAGTTAGACAAATTATTATAATTTTTTATGAATTAAATCATACCCGCCTACGAATAACAATATTTGAGATTTTTAGCATAAAAAAATTTCTTTTAGCCCAATACAACAACTCAAAATCAATTGGGACGGGGGTAATTAAGAACCATCACGTTTGCCTTTGTTGACATCCATATTCAGACTAACTACTTCATCTATTATATGAAAAAAACAATTTAATTGATCGAGTATACAAGATACTACCAGTATTTAAACATATATCATTTATTAGTTAAAAAAAAACAATGATATGAGAGCCATTGCATAGTTAATGTCATAAAAACTATTATATATAATCTTTATTTTCGTTTTCTATTATGTTTTGAAAAACTTTTTATTTTCTTCTCGTTAGTCGGTTGTTCATATAGGTGTGTGAGTTTGGTTGATATTTTTTTAACAATAAATTTAATATACTCATAAACTACTCATTAATTTTTTTTATTTATGTCAACGATGGGACTTGAACATTCCACCTCAATGGGGGAGGGTAACATCTGATACCGTTAAACTATAAGACCTTTGATGGATTTGGTTGATATGATGTTTATTTGTCATTATTCTATTTTAGCCCCATTTTTTTCATATTTCATATTATTTATTGATTTTTTTATTAAAATCACTCTTCATATGTCTTTATATGCTAATTTGTTATTATTCTGTTTGACATTTTGACTAGATTGATATATGCAAGTAAATTGTGATAACCGTCAAATTCTGGTCAATTCAAAGTCAAATAAAATCAACAAGTCAAACCGATCAGCTCAACTAACCCTTGTGTACTTGGACTTACGTTCAGTATTTACTAAACAACTCGCTATTCTGATAAGAAAACATAAATCGAAAAGTAGTTACAACTAGATCTCTTTAACCTAAAAACTGTAGTACGTGGCGAGCCAAACCGATAAAACAATGATGCTTACTCATCGGGAGTGTGTAAGATCCTTAAACGAGGCTTAACAGGGTTTACGAACCATGCATTGCGATGCCGGACACTTACAACTGTCCCACATGGAACCTCTCTCAATCCTTTTCACTCTATCTCTCTCTATGTCAAATCTCTCCCAAATCTCTCCAAGTATGTGAAATCTCTCTCAAATATCTCTCGGTAATAGAAATCTCTCCAAGAATGTCAAATCTCTCCCAAATCCCTCTAAGCATGTGAAATCTCTCTCAAATATCTCTCTGTATGAGAAATCTCTCCAAGAATGTCAAATCTCTCCCAAATCTCTCCAAGTGTGAGAAATCTCTCCCAAATCTCTCTCAAAAGTTTCCCGTAACTTTTTGGAATCATTCGGGTCATTCCGACCCTTAACCGGGTCAAAAACGGCTCAAAACGAGGCGAAAACGAGAAAAAATAGGCTTTAGGAACCGAAACCAAGAGAGAAGCTTCTTAGGACCCGAAGGTCCTCTTAGGGACTGAGAGCAAGAGGAGCCGAACCGAACCCTCCTGAACCGAACCGAACCCTTCTGAGCCGAACCGAACCCGAAGGTACTGTTCACCACTAACCGAAACCGAACCCTGCTCAAGAGGAACCGAACCGAACCTCGCCCTGGAAGAACCGAACCGAAGG